ATCAGATTTATATCTTCATTTGTAAGACTCATTTTTTTAATATTTAATCAATGATTAATGTTTTTTAAATTAAAAAAATTAATTGAGTGTTGTATGGAGTCTTAAGTTGAGTCTTGAATATTCAAGACACCACTTAAGATTTTGTTAAGACCAAGCCACATAAATGCGTAAAATAACTAAAGTCTTGTCTTAAGACCGCAAAATTAAATTTTGATGATGTCACCTAGATTCTTAAGACTGGCTAATCTTGCTCTAATCCAGACTGAAGTATTTCGTGCTATCTTCCTTCAAAAAAAAATGTATTGAAAATCTGTACATCGCACGAGCTTGGTATAAAGATGGGATTGTTGTGGAATAATGAAGAGGTTGGATTATATTTAAAAAAATTGGAAAAATATTTGAATTATCTAAATCAAAATTTCCAAACAAAATAAGGTACTTTTCTTTGACGGATTAAAATTAAACTACCCCTTTCCTACAAAAAAAAAAAAAAAAAAAAAAGAGGAAGCCCAGGTTTATCAAATGGAAAAATTGATAAAAATAATCCATACTTTCATCCATTCGCTCAAAATAATCCCAACTTTGGATTATTTTTAAATAATCCCAACTTTGGGGGTTATTCGCTCAAAATGATCCCAACCGGTTATTTAACATGTTACAACAGGTTAAAGTGACACGTGTTACTATTTAATTGGCTGAAAAAAAAACAAAAAACTTTTTTTTTTTAAAAAAACCCACTGTCGGAACCTCATCCACGACCACCCTCTCCGCCACCTAGCCACAACCCCTCCCGGAACCCGCCATGTTCGATGGAGCCTAGACGTTCCTCCCCCACCCTAGCGTCGGCGATGCCCCTCCCCTGAACCACCAAACTGCCCACACGACAACCCGATCGAAACCCTGAAAAAACCCTCCGCCACCACATTAAACCCCCCAAATCGGCCCTCCCAACGGAACCTGGTAGGGAAGGGCCGATTTGGGGGTTTAATGTGGTGGGGGAGGGTTTTTCAAAATTTCGGGTGGTTAGGTGGAGGGCTTTTTTTAAGGGAATTCGGGTTGCCGTTTAGGGTAGTTTAAGGGAGGGGTGTCGCCGACGCTAGGGGGGAGAATGTCGCCGGCAAGGTTGGGGGCGGTCAGATCTTGACTAAGACTGCTGGGATGGTGGTTGCTGGCCGTTAAGGTTGAGTGGCTGTAGGTTTTGGATTTTTTTTTGTTTTTAAATAAAATAATTTTTTTCAACTTATAATGTGTTGACATATGTCACTTCAAACTAAAAAAAACCTCTTTTATAGGTTACCGATTATTTGGGACCGATATAAGCGAACGACCCTTAAAGTTCGGATTATATAAAAATAATCCAAAATTGGGATTATTTTGAGCAAACGAGTGAAAATTGAGATTATTTTTGTCAATTTTTACTTATAATTTGATAAACAATTATCAAATGGCAAAATGGTAATATAACAACGTAAGTCATGGTATTTTTGTAAATATATTTATAACAGTAAACCCATATTCAATAAAAAGTTGTTGATATATATAATTTTACCATTTGATAAACTTGAATTTGCTAAAAAAAAACAAAAAAAAAAAAAAAAACCTACGTACCATAGGAATCCATACATATTTCGGTTATATTACTTTTATATATACATTTGAGGTTTGAGGTTTGAGGTTTATTAGGAATTACTCTCTCTTTTTCAAAAAAAAAAAAAAAAAAAAAAAAAAAGGAAATACTCTCTCAATTTTTGTATTGAAGCGCACGCGTCGTTCTCCATTGAAATTTCAAATTTCCATTGAAATAGCGTCTGAGGTAAGAAATTGTGTTTTTTTTTTTCGTAATTGTCGAATATCAATTTCTGTTTGGTTTTTTGTTAATTTAATTCTCATCATAGACAATTTTAGGGTTCTTTGGTAATTTTAATTCTCATGATGCTCAATTTAGGGCTCTTTAAACTCGATTATTTTCAATGTTTAGGGTTTTTTGTTAATTTAATTCTCATTATGCTCAATTTAGGGTTCTTTAAACTCGATTATTGAACTTTTGTTCTAATTACTAAACTCGATTATTTTAGCTAGAGAAGAAAATTATGTGCTTATTTTGTTATTTAAATTAAAATTTCCTTTAATCATAATTTTGATAAATGATCTGTGTTCCCATAATAATCCCATCTTTATTTTCCCTATCAGTTTCGATGAAGGATTAGTATTAATGTTTGACAATTTGGATGAAGGATTAGTATTAATCTCTGATAATTTGTAGAAGATGTGTTGCTTTTACAAGACTTCGGGCGAATCTGATGACATTACCCCTGAAATTCTCGATGAATTGCTTCGTGTTGCCAATGAAGCCGCTGATGCCGCTGGTGCTGTGGTGAAAAAGTTATTTGGGAAACCGTGGTTGATTCAAAACACTAATAAGTACGACCAAGGTAAGTTTCGTTTTGGTTTTGTTTTGTTCCTTGTTTTTTACTTGAATTTTCCTGTTTTGGTTGACCAATTTGATTTTGTCGTTAGATGGCTGTATTGTTGAACAAGCCACAAATGCAGACCCAGCTGCCGAGGATGCTATGATATCTTTGATTTTACAGAATTTCCCTCATCATGTAGTGTAAGTGATCTATTTTCAACTTTACTTATTGACCTTACTCATTGAGTTAGTTTGCTTGATCTAATGTTTTTAAATTTGATTTAAAACTTTAGTTTTGGCGAGGAAAGGGGTTGGCTTCCGGAAGGAAGGGATGCTGATTTTGTTTGGGTGCTAGACCCAATTGACGGGACTACTAGCTTCAAAAACGGTAAGAAAATCTTTTTCTCTTCATAATACTCTTTCTTTATGAGTTTGGTCGTATGTTCTGATCATCTCTTACAATGCTACAGGTATTCCTTTGTTTGGTACTCTCATTGCTCTCTTATATAAGAGTAAGCCGGTATGACTCCTTTGCACTTAAATTATGGCTAGTACTCGTGTTTTTGCATGCATTGGATTTTTAGTAGAGAATATTAGATGCACCATAGTTATGTTTTAGATGTCTGGACCTGTTTTCTCATTCCACTGGATGGTTATATCTTTACAGATCTTGGGAATCATTGACCAGCCAATACTGTCCAAAAGATGGGTCGGAGTGCAGGGAAGATAAACTACTATGGATGGTCTGCCTGTACAAACCCGTCCTTGTCAGCGGCTTTCACAAGCAACACTGTGAGTATATATATCTGCACAATCACTACTACTTATTCTCTCTTTGTTCATCTTTTATTATTTATATATTTATGTTTTTTTTTTTTTGTTTTTGTTTTTGTTTTTGTTTTTGAGAAGAGCAATAGTTTGTACTCTTGTGGAAAAACTTAATAGTTTTGAGATGAGTTTTCTCCCACGAGTATGTACGAGTTGCTTATTCCTCTTTTGCTTTGTTAGTTTTTTGTTTTTTAATTTACCTCATCCGTTTTTGAATTTGTTACTTTCAGATATGCGTCCAGCCCATTGCATTTTAGCGATAAAGAGCAAGAGGACTTTTATCGTGTCACAGAAAAGGTGTGTAGTTAGTATCCCTTGATATATTCGTTAGATATTAGTAACAGTTCATTCTATTAAAAATTGGTCTACTAGAATCTGTAAGTTATCCTGCCACAGTTGCTTTGTTAAGCTTTTAAACTAACCAAACTCTCCTGAACACAAAACCAATTTTACCATTTTGTTTTTACTGATTGATGTAAGTGTGATCAATTGATCTGGCAAATACTTATAGCTGCCATGAAATTGTCAATTTTTTCTAATCATATGGGTTCTTCTATTCTTCAGGTTCAAGAACCAATATATGGAGCTGAGTGCTTTACCTATGGACTCTTAGCTTCTGGGTTTGTTGATTTGATTATCCAGTCCTTTCTTGGTGTGAGTGATATTTTCTTGTCTCTGTATATTATACTCCAAACACAAATTTTTATTTGGCTAATTGTTTACTTTTTTGCTAAACTATTCAATGATTTTTCTGCAGCCTTACGATTTTCTCGCTTTTATACCAATCATAGAAGGTGCTGGAGGTATTATAACTGATTGTGCTGGTCAGAAGCTTGAGTGGAAAGCTTCTCCACTGTCCATAGGTAACCAACTGATTCGTATAAAAAAAATCGTTATAAAATGGCTGTATACTCAACTTAACTAGTGTTGTAGATTTTCTGAACATCATAATTATATTGGTGTTGCAGGTCCAGCTTATTATCGCATAATTGCAGCCGGAGACAAGCAGGTCCATCAGGATGCATTGGAATATCTTACAAATGTATGATTTAGAGCTAGAGTTTATAAGATATACACGAGTCATGTTTAAGATTTACTTGTTAACCTCCTATTTGCTTATACTACATCCACCGTTCTTAAATAATCGTTACAATTTTCTTGTATGGAAGTTTATTAATTACATATTCATTTTTAGTAACTTCACACATGGTGAAAAGGATAACTTGTTTCCCATATCTAAAGCAAAAGGTTCGATCTATGCTCGAAATTATGAAAAAAATAAAATTGGAGTCAATTTGGTTGGGATTCCAAGACTGTATCCTACGTCTGATCAAATTTCTAAAGTTTAACTAGTAGGAAAAATTGCCGGAAATGTCTTAGCCTCTAGCAACTAGAGCCATTAATATCTCTAGCAGAGGGACCAAACTATAAATAAAAATAGATGTAAAAGAAAATGGAATTATAAAAATAAAAAAAAATCACGTGACTCCAAAAGAAATTAAAGAAATAAGAAACTTTTGCTTTTTGCCACCCACTTTTGCAGTACAATGTTACATAGTCACCCACTTTTGTAGTACAATGCCTAAAAAATAGTGAAATCTGGTACTATTTCGTCAGTCTTTTATGTAATACCAGCAAATCTTCCGTTTGGTTGCAAAAACGGGAACGGCATATGTTTTTGGGGGGAAATTTTGCGCCAAAATACTGCTGATTGATGCTGAGGTCACTGCTGGAAGAGAGAGAAAGCTCAGTCTTTCCCAAAATTGATAGAAAAGGAAGAGAGAGAAAGCTTCAACTCTTCAACCAAAAATACAAAGAACGATGAATCTAAGTTTTCAAGCTGCAACACTTACGACTATGACAATTCCCTGTTCGCAAATTTGTTCCCACTTCTTCTCGTGTTCTCATGATTGGTTGCGAAAATGCTGGTAAGTTTTCGATTTTTATTTTATCAATTTTTTTATTTAATTTGTGATTTGTTGATTTAAGCTAGATAACTTATTAAGGAATTCTGGGGTTTTTGTTTTGGTTGTTTCGATAAGATTTTGGGTTTTTAATGTTGGAATCGAGTGTTTTGAGCTGTTTGATTTTGCTTTGTATTAGTGATGATCGACTGATTGTCATCAATGCATTAAGAAATGCTTTAAACTGAAAAAAAATTACAGCTTTATTAGAAGTCTGAAATTGCTGAAGTTTTTAGATGAATTCAACTTTGTTGATGAATTCTTCTACACCTTGCCCAGATGCTCTTGAAAGCCTTTATACTGCTATTTCTTGACCATTTTCTAGTTTACCCTGTAAACAAACATCATATTATCTCCTGCTACGTTTTGTTGCATTTTAGACTACGTAAGATCATGTTTGAATTGAACTCATTCTTACCTTGGCCAAAACCACCCTTCCCGAGCAAGTTACTCTCACTAAAGCCGTCTGTTGCTATTATCAGATCTTCAAGTTTTGAGACTTTTAGGTCTTCAATCATAACTTGGGTTTTGTCTCTGAATAGATATGAATCTGTTGCTTTCCCAGCTTTCTTCTCTGGTATCAATTTAGATTTTCTATTTCTATCCGATGTGTGTTTACCCTTTTTCCGAGCTCTCCATTTGAACAGGAAGTATGTGATAGTGGCAATCACTGCTGTTCCTAAAGTCATATCTCTTACTAGTACCTGCAAAGCAGAGGAAATTATTTTACATATGCATACTAACATGATCTTTTTTACTAGGTGGGAAGATGAGAATTCAGAAGCCTATAATATCTCCTAAAGTGTCTAGCATTCAAAATTTCAAAGAGGTATGATTAACTTACTTAGCTCTGATTGTTCAAGCCGAATGAATAGGTCCACCCCTCCAGGCGAAAGGTCCTCTATGTCAATCAAGTTCTCGCTCCATCTCATACATCCAGTTCCAGTATCATGTGTATAAGCCAAACAAGAGCAGTTTGCCAGGCAGGTTGTTCTGCACTGATCAGGATTCAGACCCACAAACCATTCAGCAATATCAGCATTAACTGGCACTTTCATCATCTTTAACCTCAAAAACCCATCTTGTTTTCCCCCTTGAACCCCACATTGCAGGCTTGCAGCTTCTTTCTTCTCACACACCCACTTGTCCAGTTTCCTCTCCTCCATTCCTCCGTGTTCTTTGGCACAAACCCTTTTAAGCAGCTGCACATAGGTTTAGTCTGCGGGTAGTTTGGTTCGCGAAATATAGGTATAAAGTATGGGTTTAGAAGTACTAAAACCCATACCTTATGTTTGGTTGTCAAAAGTACGAGTTTCAAACCCATACCTCAAACCCATGAGGTATGGGGTTTAGAAACCTTGGGGGGGGAGGTGGGTTTGGCCCATTCCATTCCCCTAGGTATCAAATATAAGGAGGGAAGAATGAGGGAAACAGGGAAATTACCGCCAAAGTCCATCTCCTACTTCTGCCGCCATATTCATCCTTCATCCTTAAGCTGTTGAGCAGCAATAATTCAGCCTTCATCCAGGTAATTCTTCTTCTTTTTTTTTTTTTTTTTTTTTTTTTTTTAATTTAATTAAATCTTGTTCTTATTTTATGATATTTCCCCAATTTTTTATTCACTTTTTCCCCAAATTTGTTGTATAATTATTCTGGTTAGCTATATATTGTGATCAAAGTAGTCATCTTTCGTGTGAAATTTATTGAATTTTATCATAGTAATTGTATATATTTAGTAGATTTTTTACTATCTCAAAAAATAAATTACCGACATATAATTGTGAAATAGTTCTGATGTATGAAATGGAGTGTTCATTATTGCAGGTCCACTATTGTGAACTATCATTGATTTCATTAGCATACATATTACTTGTTGACTTTTGTTTTTCAATTCTTTCTGTGGATTGCCTATTGCATGCCTTTCTTTGGCTTTTGCCCTTGTATTTTTCTTTTTGCTCCCACCAAAGGATGTATATATATATATATATATAATGTTAGTAAAAAAGGCACTTAGACAATAAAATAAGAATATGATAGGAAAACATATGAGTAAATACTAATAATCAATTTATAGGGTAATCCTTTTTGTGTTGTGTTTTTACAGAAATGGAGTCATGTAGACTATCCTTGTTAAGGAGGAAGAGAAAGCGACAAACAGAACTACTTGTAACTTTATTAGTTATAATAAATTTCATGATTCTCATGTATTTCGTGCTACATAAAATACACCGAATTAGAGATAAGAAACGTAATAGATTAATTAATTTGAACTCGTTGATTAGAGATAGTGATGTTGCTTGTAGGAGTGAATTGAGTATGAACAGACATACTTTTGGTGTACTTTGTGAGATGATAAGCGATATTGGTGGATTGAGAGGGACTAGAAATATGAGCTTACAGGAGATTGTAGCTATGTTTTTGTATACATCATCTCATCATAAAAAGAATAGGTCGAGAGGGCACTACTTTTATAGGAGTGGAGAAAGTGTTAGTAGACAATTTAACCTTTGCCTCCTTGTGGTTCTAAAGCTACATCATCACTTGCTCAAAAAACCTACACCTATTACAGAAGATTGCGAGGATAGTAGATGGAAATGCTTCCAGGTATATTTAACATTTTAAAATATGATAAAAAGAATGCTCATTCTACAATTGATTAAAAGCAATGTTCTACATACATCCTATGTAAATAATCTAGTGTATTTTCTTTATAATTGTAGAATTGCTTAGGAGCTCTAGATGGTACATTTATTAAAGTTTATGTTCCAAATGAGGATAGAGGAAGGTACCGAACAAGGAAACGAAACCTTGCAATGAATGTTTTAGGTGTTTGTACACCTAACATGGAATTTGTTTTTGTCTTACCTGGATGGGAAGGCTCTGCACATGATGGTCGTGTTTTACGAGATGCAATTTCGAGGCCTAATGGTTTAAAGGTGTCTCGAGGTAAACCATGTGATAAAAATAACCATATGATAATATACAATTTTGATTATTACAATTAATAAAGACTTCAATCTATTCTATGATTTTCAAGGTTGTTACTTTTTGGTAGACGCTGGCTACACTAATTGTGAGGGGTTTCTTGCACCATATAGAGGGCATCGTTATCACTTGAAAGAATGGGGGGATCGAGTACCAGCAAGTGCTGAGGAGTACTTCAACATGAAACATTCTAAAGCTAGGAATGTAATTGAGAGAACTTTTGGTTTGTTGAAGGGAAGGTGGGCAATTCTTAGAAGCCCTTCTTTTTTTTCAACTCGTACACAAGGTCGCATTGTTACAGCGTGTGCTATATTACACAATCTAATTCGAAAGCACATGCCCACAAATTTTGAGGTTGATGAGTCATCAGATGAGAATGAGAATGAGGATATTGGTGATGATGTTGAATACATTACTCAAGTTCAACCATCAAATGCTTGGACCGGCTTTAGGAATAATTTAGCGCAAACTTTATTTAATGCTTGGAGAGCTAGGCAAAATAACGAAACATGATTTTTTTTTTTTTAATGAATAATGACTCTTTTTAGTCTTGTCCTTGTGTTTTGTGAAACGATCTTTGTATTTTATGATTTTTTGTTTCTCGTTTGTGTTTGATGTTAATCAAGGGACATGATATTTTTATTTAACTTTTAATTGCTTTCATTATGTGATACCCTATATACCACAAATAAAATATTTGGTTATGTATTCTTACTTAATTGATTAATTAGGATGGCCGCAAATGGTCAAAGTTCTTAAAGTGGAAGAGGTAAGAATAAGCGCTTCTGGAAGAAAGAGGAGGAAGAAGCTTTGATTGATTGTTTGTTGGAGTTAAGTTGTGACCAACAATGGAAGGGAGAAGGAGGGTTTAGGAATGGATACTTGAATCACTTGGAGCTTATGCTGAACAATAAGTTTCCTGGATGTGGTTTAAAAGCCATTCCTCACATTGAATCAAAGTTCAAATGGTTCAAAGATAAGTATGCAATAGTTGCTGAAATGGTGAACAAGACATCCGGGTTTCAGTGGGATGAAGAAACTAGTACAATACAATGTGAGAGACAAGCTTATGATGATTTTTGCAAGGTAACTGATTTCTTTTCTTTTTTTTTTCTTTATATATTTTTTAAAATCTTGCATTTTACTTAATCTAATATAATATATAACTAATGTTTTTAGACTCATCCTAAAGCTGGAGGATTATGGAAGACTCCTTTTCCTTACCTTAGCAAGCTAGATGATATATTTGGTGTTGAAAGAGCTAATGGTCTTGCGGCTGAGTTGCCTGAGGACTCTATCCATAACCTTGAAAAGGACGTTGTTCACCTTGATAATGATAGTGATGATGAAGAGTTATACTCAACCCCAACCTCCTCCTGCTAAGAGAATGAAAAAGGAAAAGACTCCAAAGACTAATCAGAAAAAGACAGCTACTCGATTTGAAAATTTATCATCTGTTCAGTTGGTTTTATGAAAGATATGAATAATCATCTTGCTACTATTGCGTCTGCCATGAGTACAACACAAGAGCGTGAACAAGAGAAGGCTATTATCTGAGATTGGAAGTTTGCCTGTAATTACCTGAAGTTATAAGAGCTGCTCGTTTGTTTTCATCAAATCCTAACCAAATGGAGATTTTCTTTTCAAGTCCTAATGATGAATGGAAAAAGGAGGTGGTGTTTGACCTTTTGAGTCGTAATGCTTGAAATAATTTGTCTATTTATGACAAATTGCCAAATGTGATGGATTATGAATTTGTTTTCTTTGAATAAATGTTCACTTGGAATTTTAAACAGGGTTTTTGAGTATTAGTTTTGATATTAAATAATTATCTCAAATATTGTGATAATTTTGAATGTGTTTGTTTAAAATTTAACTATTGCGTTGTAGTTATTGTTCTTAGAGAATTGATTTTGCTAGTTGATTAAAATAAAGATTATTGAAAAAAATGGAGTTGATTCCTCATTCCAATAAATTTCTAACCAAACATGTAAGGGAATGAGATCCCATTCCAGAATTGAACCAAACACATGGTATTAAGTATTAAGTTCCAACCCCATACCACCTTAACCGCATTCCTGATTCCAAACCCATTCCACTCTGTGAACCAAACGCCCCCTTAAGCAGCTGCACATAGGTTTAGTCTGCTGGTTGCAGTTTCCAAATTCTCCACACATACCATAGGTGTCACATATATTTTCCGGGGCATGCCACAGTTCAATCTTCTTGCTATCATCCCACCACCTTTCAGCTAATATCCCTTGATCAGTTATTACATAACGAGGCAAAAAAGTCTCATTCGCGCTTGTAAAAACCAGAGAAAGCATCCCTCTTACTTCCTCCTGTGCGAATGACCCAGTGTTAATGAGTATATCACCATAACCAGTATTATGATATCTTGTTCCCATGAAAATGTTTCCATTCCAAGGTCCACTTCGCCAATAAGGGCGATCCCCATCCCATATGATAATCTGATGGATCTGAAGGACTTTTCCAGGCCTGCACGATACTGAAAACTCTGCCATATGATCGTCCCATTGCCACGACTCGTGTTGTTCGGAAATCCTTGGATAAAAATGTTCCCGGAATCTTGAAGTTGAGCTGCTACAAAACCAGGTGTAGGATAAGTGACATTGGATGACCAAATAGTCTGATATTTTTGCATCAGAGACTCAGAGAGTGATATCTTAATTACACCAGAAAGTATCAGTGAGGGGATTGTTCCTGTTAGCTACCCATACAAGATACAACTTCCATTTCAGAAGGGTGATTATACCAGATTCCAACATAACGATTGGAAGAGTTTTGAGGGCTGAAAAATCCTAGCTTGAAAATGCTATTTTTAGAAAGTATTGATTCTGAGTCTTTTAGGAATTGTGTTGGTGTAATACTGTCAATTGCAGAGCAGATTTTAGAACTGAAAAGAAGAATGTATGGAATTAATGCAAAAATAGGTATCATTCTTTGCTTAATTGATTATATCATGTAACATTTGGCAATTTAGAGATAATATAAGGGCTCTGAAGGTAAGTTGTGTGTGTGTGTTTTTCTCTTTTTTTTTTTTTTTTTTGCTCAGAATTTCAGAGGTCTTTGGTGTTAGGCCTGTTAGCCCTTTGAGTGAAACACGTGAACTTATGAGTGCTTTAAACTAGTGGATGTTCTGGACTTCTAGTGTATTTTGTATTGATTGACGACTATGACGAGTAGATTAAAATATTTCGAGTTTGACTAGCCGTATTATTATATGAGATGCGTTATATAAAAAAATCTTGATATATATAAGATATAAACTTTAATAATTTTTACTAATCTGAAATCAAATATATAAATGATCAAAGTATTTGTATTGTTACATAGCAAGATAAATTAATATGCAAGATCATTCATGAGTTCATATGGAACGACATTAGTTGGTACTTGGGACACAAGTTTCTCAAATTTTCTCCACACCAAAAGAAATAAAACAAGCTAAATTATGCATTATATCTTGAAACCATATGAACATTACAAGGAACCTCTTTGGAATTAAATGTTGGAATGTATTTCGAATGCAACTTATGTATGCATTATATATATTTGAAGGCTTGGTACTTAATGTGTAAAACATAGTATTTTTAGCTATATTCCTAGTATGATAATGAATGTACTAAAAACAAGATGAAGGGTACCAAATTCACGACCGAGGGTACCTAATAAAAAAATGAATGATCAATGATAATATGTGTGACATGAAGTAATTAGATTATTAGTACTACATCCGTTACATATTATTTGCAACGATTAGACATTTTTCCTCTCTACTTTATGTCAAATCGTTGCAAATAATATGTAACGGAGGCAGTATATTAGATCAAATAACAAAGAACTATATACTATTCGCGGGGAATTCAATAAGGTATTAATGTTGTTTTGACTATAAGCATTGATACTGTCACTCTAATGTTTCTTAATCCCTCTAGTAATATATGAATTGTATATTGTAGATCATACTATATACAACAATTGCGTGTCAACAATTGAACGCACAGGACTAACAAAGAATCTATCCACAAATGTCTTATTGTACGCTTATCAACAAATGAATAACAAATGTCTCGATTTGCTTGTTCAACTTTGAATTAGAAGGGGCTATAAGAAACAAATCTGAAAATCGAATCTTAGAATCGAAATATTCGACAGACATGCATAATCAAGACGTCATATCCAAATTTAAATTGAATAATAGAACAACAACAACAACAACAACAACAACAACAATAAATAATAATAATAATAATAATAATAATAATCGATAAATCATAATAATAATAATAATAATAATAATATTAATAAAAATAATCAATAATCAATAAATAATAATAATAATAATAATTAATAATAATAAAATAATAATAATCAATAAATAATAATAATAATAATAATAGTAGTATATTTTTCTTAAATATTTTAATATGTATATTTGTATATACACATATTTATAATAATAAATAATCAATAAATAATCAAAGATCACTAATCCGTAGTTAAAAATCACTAATTAATAAGTTCAGTCCAGTTCAGTTCAGTTCAGCTCAGTTCAGTTTAGTTCAGTTTAGTTCAGCTGAGTTTAGTCAATGAGAACATGCCCTAAGGATACTAAACTCAAATATTACTTACCAATAAGTGTCTAACCTACTAAGGATACTAAGAGATGTTGTATAGTGGGGACACTAGGAAGGGTACTTCGAAAACTATGTCATATAAAAAGCCAGGACTAATACGAACCTTCACATTATAATTTATATATATTTTTTTTTTTTTTTTTTTTTTGCTGTTCCAATGTATTCGCCCTTAGGACTAATCTGAATTCGGGGATTAATTTTTGGGTTTTGATTTCCACCATACCTCTTTGTAGACACCTAAAAATGTCTCCCCAAAACCAAACCCGATGATGAACAACCTTTCAACGCCATTATTGGTCGGGTTGAGTATTTAACCTTGGAGTGCTTAAATCCATATTCCCAATACATTTCATAAACCAACCCAATTCCTAACCCATTTTTCCAAACCATAACTTATTTTCTTTGTTTCGTGTCAATTAAAATCATTTATTTCGTGTCCATTTTATAAAAATGTTTAGACCATTTTATTTTGGTCCATAATATGGGTCCAATGATTATATATTTGGATGGGGCTTGAAAAGAGCTTTCCAACGATATATTATAAGCCCAAATCCGAATTATAAGAAATAAGTTATGGCCAAAATACTAAACTGGGTCTAAACCGAACCTAAGCCCATCTTACCTACGACCTAATGATCATGTGGAGGGTCCGAAGGATTTAATCCCAATCCTAATCCAATTAGGATTAATTGGAAGCTTCTATAAGTTTCTAAAAGATCTTAATTATCCTTTTTGAAAAGATAAGATTAAAGAGTTTGAAATAGAATAAAACTCCTCTAGTAATTCGATTCGAATTGAAAGACGTTCAAAGATAGTCAGAAATTATTTTTGTGCTTCATAGTTTTTATCTAATCCTTACATGGTTGGATAGCTCTTGAAATTATCTTTCCAATGATATATTATAATATTAATTCCGAGTTATAACGAAAAAGATATAAAAGAAATACGAAACTCTATCCAAAACTGACACCGTCTCACTATTTCGGCCATATCTTTTATTCTACAAAATATTTTAATCTGATTCTAACTGAATTAGAAATTAGACTTCAATATCTTTCCAAC